CGCTAAAAAAATATAGTTTAATTTATTTTAAATTCTCTTTTTAGGCAGATGATTTCAACTCTCTTCTATACCGACTCATGATGGAAGATAAAACTAACCAAATACTACATAATGTAAGTACATTAGTTAACGAATCGGAGGCAGTGGAGTCTTTATAAATAATTCTTTTATTCATAAAGTTACAAATGGCATCTAAAATAAAGAGTAATATACTATGGGTTGACTACATGAGTTCACTCCTGGTTTCCTGCAGTAAAGAGTATGACATCAAGAGAATTAACTACATGAGTGGTTTGGTCTGAGGATCATGGGGAGGATCACCTACTATATATTCAGGAATAGTAGGGGGGATGAATCAATTCTGGTCGGTCTAGGAAGCGTGTGAATGAAGTTAAGAATTGATATCCTTATCTTTTAGAATTGATATGAAGTCTGTGAGAAAGTGCTCTTTTGCTGAAAACGGTTATTGTTCCCTAAGTCTTGATAAGTGTCTTCTGTCCAGTCAGTACATCCTAGATAACAATTTCTAAGCTATCAGAGATAGCTTGACCTGGCTATCTAGGGCTTTGTGCTTTTATGATTTGAGCTGTGAGAAACTAAGAGATAATATTGTTCTTGTTTGTTGCGGATTAAGTCCATTCTGTAACTATTGAAATGAAGAGCATATTCCTGAACTCTTCGATGCCAACAGATACGTCTCTAAAATGGTAAAATCGATGTGCTTAGTGCTGATTCTAGCAACGTTAATTTAACTTCCATTTATCTTTATATGTAATATATAGTAAGGATAAGTATTAAGCGATCGTGAAAATTTGCGAGTCTGAGTTTTCAACGGAAATACTCTGAGGCCAAAAACCAAAATCCCGCAAAATGGGCTGCGTGTCTGTAATTATGTGTGTATATGAACAACCAAGCATAAAACCGAAAAGTAGTACAAAATTGATATTACGTATTTAAGATATGCTAATGCCTTAGATGTGACAACAAAATTTTCTTTAAAAATCAGCTACTGGAAATGCCACTTTTTATCGACGGTGAAATTTTTTTTACAATTTGCTCAAAAACGAATTAAACGATTTTGATTAAACTCGGTGTGTATTGTATTAAGTGATATTTAATATCATTTAGATCTTATCCTCATTTATGTCACTTTACTGGGCTTAAATGCCCAATGTTCATATACGTCTTCCTCTAATGTACCTTTTATATGGTTTATTTAAAAAAAATTAACTCTTTTATTGATATAAACTATAAAAAATGGCTAAATATGAAGTTTGAAAGTGTATGATAATTGGAAACTGAAGAGAAAAAGAAAAAAATATATATTATCACATAAATAATGTAGAAGGTAACGGAGAATGACGAAAAAAAAATATAAATAATAATTTCAGAAAACTAACATTATTTAACGTAAATCACATGTTTCCAAGCATATAAAATGAAATGTTCTTACTGTATGTAAACTTTTAAATTTTATTCTAAGTTCGATGGCAATCCATGGCAGGCAATGAAAATATCTTAATTTCATTTTAAACTTTACAATAGAAAATAACAGTTTAATAACTAATAGTCCTAAAATTCGTAATCATTTATACGTTAAATATTCAGATATATTTTCAAACCTCTCTAGGCATATATGAGCCTTTCGGTTGAGAGAATGACTAACTCCAATTTCAACATTCTTTGTTACTAATTTTAGTGATGTTTCTAGTGACAAAATATATACCTTTATTCACAGTTCTATATTTCAACACTGCAAACACCTATTCTGGAATGAACTTACTCACTGTCTGCAGAGATATAACTTTTTCAACTAGGAATATCATTAAAAAGACATTACTCAAAAATGTTGAAATTTGAGACTCAAAGTGTCTCCAAGTTCATCCAAGTTCATTCATGTTTTAGTTCATTCAATGAACTAAAAGGCTCAGAAACTGAAGTTGTGTGGTTTATAAAAGCAGATGGACTGACTAGATTTGTATTGCCTACCGTCGATATAATAAATAGACTTTTTTAATTTTAATGGTCTTAATGATTTGTTATCTGTAAGCTTTAAGCTTTAGCTCCGTTTAAAATGCACTGCAAAAAAATTTATAATAGCCCAACATTGCCAGATAATAATTTCTATTCAAAGTAGAGCGGTAAGTAAATGTTGTGTGTTTTGCGCACCAAATCTTATTAATACTTATCTTTAAGGTCATATCGCTCATCCAGTGATATGACGTCACCACATATCAAACTATTTTATAGAAGAAAAAAAATAATAACAATTATTATTACTACTATCCGCCCAGTGGTAGAAGTTCGACAATTGGAGGAAAAGTAATGCAGAATCGATAAAAACCAGTTGGTTTTTTAACAAAATATAAAAAAAAGAAATTTCGGACATCATTTGAATTCGCAAATCTTTTGCCACTCAGAAAGTGTTTAATGATCCGAACAACAAACAGAAATGCGATGGTGCAACATCGAGTAGGTATGGTGGATGAAGCTGTATTTCCCATCCCCATTCCTTAATTTTTCCAGTGGTCGTCTTAAGCAGTGACAAATTGCATTTTCGTGTTGCAGAATAACACCTTTTAAGCTGAGAATTAAATTAAAGATTGATTTACATGATCCAATTGTTCACAATAAAGATCTGCATTCACAGTTTGGCCAGGTTTTAGCACTTCATAATGAGCAACGATGGGAATATTCAACAAAACAAGTGTTGGGCGTTATGTAAATAAATTATTTGAAATTTTATCTGGATAACGAATAATAGATAAATTTTTATTCGTTATTTCTTATTCGACGATCTTTGGACAGATTATTATTTGTTATTTACAAATAATATGCATTATCTGTTATCTATTATTCGTTATTTAAGATAAAAATAAGACTCGAATAATCTTTTTTGTAATTTTAGAATTTCTTCGATATTTAGGTCTGTTTATATGTTTTAGGGGGTGCTTTTTATGAAAATACTGTCGGATTTGAATTAGCGAGCCCAGGCACCGACTTTTTGTAACTTTTCGGATTTAATCGATATGAGGGTCAACTATTGTTATGTTTTGGGAGGCCTTTTTATGAAAATACTGTCGGATCTATACCTTTTTATGAAAATACTGTCGGTGCCTGGGGGCGCTAATTCAAATCTGACAGTATTTTCATAAAAAGGGCTCCCCAAAACATAATAGTCGATCCTCATATCAATTAAATCCGAAAAAGTCGGTGCCCGGGGGCGATAACTCAAATCCGACAGTATTTTCATGAAAAGGGCCCTCCAAAACCCTGATATGGAAGAAATCTAAAAAATCAAAAAAGTCGCAATGCAGTGGCATAATCTTAAAATGGAGATCAGTTTTAAAAACTATGGATAAAAAATATACACATATATAGAAGAAAAATAAAATTAGCGTCAAATTATTCGAAGTTTATTAGAAAAACTCGAATAATTAATAAAAAGATAATAGATAACTTGAATTTATTTATTCTCTAGATAAAAGATAAACAGAATTATTCGTTATTTGTAGTTTAAAAGTTGGAATAAATTATTCGTTATCTGTTATCTTTTATTTAAGATAAATTTTGCCCAATACTAAACCAAACACACCAAAGGACCTCTTTGTGACCTGGCTTATCTGTATTTGGTGGATAATGGATTATCATACACGACACATTTTGTCATCGCCGGCGATCAAGACATCAAAAACGGTTCTGTATTGTGCCGTTGAAACAATAAGTCGCATGTGGCGGTTTTCCAATCTGCTGTAAATGTTCTTGGATAGTCAGCCATAGTTGGTTAAAACTTTTTGACTATTCCTCGATTGTCTGGTACCACAAGCGGATCCAGGATTTAATTTTATGGGGGAGGACTTCAGCCCGAAAGCTTTTTTTTTTCATAAAAATAATAACTTTGAAAAAAAGGAAGAAACTAACTATCTACATGAAATGGTGTTTAAGTGATTCCTGATGTCCTTTTAAATGTAATTACATGAACAATAATACTTTAAGAGATAATTTTTAAATATTTTTTACCATAAAACATGGTTATATTTTACCATTTTGGGGGGTGGGACTTCAGCCCCAAAGCTTCCCTATAGATCCGCCCGTGTCTGGTACATATTAACTTCTATTTCCGCCCTCAACAGGTCATTTTCTAAAGTTGTTGGTATTCCTGATCGATACGGATCGGAAAGATCAAAATTACCAGATTTGAACTTTAAAAACCAACTTTAACACATTATTGTCTAATACATTTGGATAAACATTGCAAGTTTTTTTGGTAGCAACTGTTGCGTTACTATTCTTGTGAAACTCAAAAAGCATCTCATGCTTTATTTGTACCTCTGCTGGTATTTTTTGTAAACATCAAACCTAGAAATCGTTCCAACCGTATGCTCAAAAATATATTACAAAGCAAGGCGATGGTCCGGGGTGGCGGTCATAAATAGGCTGAATAGTGGCAAAACTATTTTATTAAAAGCTAACGTTTCCCTCGGACCATCTCCTACATAATGCAACGGACAACCATTAAATATTCAAAAATATATTACATAAAGTTTAGCGAATAGTCCAAACACCTAGCCCTTTGTGTGGTAAAACTATTACAGCTAAACTCTGAAAATATTTCATACATTTCCAGCAATCAGCAATGGTTTTTCAGACATTTCATGAGCCTAAGTACATTCTAAATAAACCCAAAAAACAATCATAAAGTCATTCTTATCTTTAGAACAATTCTTAAATAATTACGATAATTTTTTTTTGTTTTGTTTTTTCAATCAGGAAAAGTTAAGCCTTCATTTCACAATGAAACGAGAAGTAGTGTTCTCAGCTTGTGGTTTGTTCCAATTGGACTTCAAACTGGTTCATTCGGTGAGTCCTATATTTGTATATTAGTTAGTAAAAAAAGTTGTATTTTATTTGGCTGTTAATAAAATTTGTAGTAGTGGATCTGCTTAAACCATATCCGCATCCCGCCATTACCAAATTTGATTTTCGTTCTTTCTTTACAGATGATAGCTTCAGCCACGACATATCTGGTCTTGCTAATTCAGTTTGGACAACTCAAGCCAGACAAATCATGGACACCAACTCCTTCGACAGCCGACAATCTCACAACCCCTCATCCAATGCTGCTCACTACTAACAACTAGTGCTGAATTAGTTTTATTTAATATATAACTGTGTAAGAAATATATTTTTTTTCTGCCTAAAGAGTAGTCAATGAAAGTCCTATTTTGACAAAATAATATTAATTAACTACCACTGTAAAATGTTTTATTTATTTATTTTTTTTATTTTAATGAAATTTACAACTGTATTACATTAAAAATACAAAAAGTAAATGTGACATTGATAACATGACATGTACAACATTAAGAGAAGCTACCCATTGGTAGAACTCAAATTTAAGTTCTATATCAGAAGGTCCCGAGGCCATCTTCTTTTCAGACGCCTCGGAGGGTTATCAGGGATCGAGGAGGAAGCAACGAAAAGGTTCGGATGGTTCTGCAGCTTGTTGTGGAAGGATAGGTATCTGGATTGGGGCCAAATCGGAAACATATGGATCATTAAGGTCTTTATAGATGATTTTATTGGTGACAAAGTAAGGAGCGTTGAGGATTTTACAAAGGATTTTGGATTGTAAGGATTGGATACGAGAGGAATTCGATGGTTTAGTGAAGCCCCAAAGCTCAATTCCGTAAGTCCAAATAGGTCTTATTATTGTTATATATATATGAGTCGTTTGTAATTGATTGAAAGCTTAGAGCGTTTGTCTAGTAAGTGTTGGAGTAGTCGGAAACGTCGAGCGGTTTTTCTTGTCGTTTCTGTCTTGTATGAGGATTCCAGTATAAACAAAAATATATATATTGTAGTTGTAAGTTTATAGCTATATAAAAGTTTAATGAAAAACAATAAGATTATAATACAAGTATAAAAAAACAGGTGCGGTGTGCTCATCACACAATTTTCACTTACCATCCTCTTCTTGGCAGAAAAACGTATTTTCAGACATAGGAGAAAGAAAAAACACTGCATATTATTTGAAAATGGTTTGTTATTTCTAAACAATTATATAGTATATATAGTATATACATATACAATTATGTAGTAACATTAATTTCCTAGTTACAAAGAAAAATAAATAAAACATGATTCCAATTATTGGACTGAACATTTTTTTTTAACATTAGTAATATGCTAAAATTACTTCAGCTACACATTTAAAATCAAAAACCAAAACAAAGGATATAAACTTAGCAGTAGAAAATATCTAGAGACTATATATTTGCTATTAATTGTCCGATTTAAAAAATTTTTATTTTTGTTTTCTAGGATATTCCGTAGACTTTTAAATAACCGTTTACAATTTACAATTTACGACATAGGTCAGGTTATAGAAATTGATCCTAGAGTTTCTTTGTTCATTCATAATTCCGTGTAATTGAAGACTATATTGGATGTCAGTCAAATGATACCTTAGCTATGAAATCTGATTATGCCTAAAGCTTTTACATCTGATTGGTCAATTATTCTAAAATACTGACTTGAAGGCGAAAGTAATCCATGTTGCAGATTCTCATTTATCAATTGTTCGGATAGAAAGTAAGTTGAAAAGTATGAAAAGAGAAAATGGCCAATAGTAAGCCAATTGATGTATACGCTGAAGTTGATAAAATTTTAATGGTTTACAGATCAATAGGTTTATGTAGTTTAGTTCATTCAATGGGAGAGTTCAGGATTTCGAAGAAATGGTTCATATGGAGCATCTTTACACTCTGGCCATTTCTGATTTTCAATACCTTCTTTATGTACCTGCAATATCAAAGAAGTGATAAGAGTTTGCGGTCTTACCTTGATATAGCGCGATTTATTTCGATGGAATTATCTTTGTTTTTAACGTGGCTGTTGAACAGAACAAGAATCAACAACTTCAACAGATCTCTCAGAAAGATACAAATAGTTGACAATTACCTCTTTTCAGTTGGCGAACACGTCCCTCCTTCTAAATCGAGCAAGGTTATATTGTCAGCGGTCAGTGCTATCGGGCTTTCGATATGTCTTTGGATGTCTGCTGTGCCACGGTTTCTACATAAAATAATGTTATTTTCATTTCTATATCCTTATATTTTGATTTTGATGAGTCATTTGTTATTAGATAGGCTATTTACAATACTCTTTTTACGTTACCAAGCGATAACGAATGCATTAAGAAGATGTATCGTATTGAGAGAAAATCATACGTCATTTTTGACAGAAAAAATGAATTACTGTTTCCAAATGCTTTGTTCATCAGGAGAAAGCATCAATGATTTTTTTTCTTTCCAAATTTTATTTATTCTCACATCAATGTTCATTATATCCTTCAGCGATATTTATGTGCTCCTAAGATTGTTCTATGTAGAAGAACATGTATTCAACAAGACTTTCGCTATTATAAGCCGCGTGTGTGGGGCAGTATTTAGCTTATTAACGATTTGGCGATTCGGTTATAGATTTTCTTCAATTTCGAATAAGGTATAGTGTAAAATAATTAATTATAGTTATAGAAAATCCAATATTTTGGAGTATTATTTGTATTAATGTCATATTTATTTAATGTTATGCACCAACCCAAAGATGGTTAATTTCATACAACATAGATTCTTAGTTAATTTTCCTATTATATGTTTTAATATTCTGCAGAAAACATTAATCTGATTCAGTTGGGCCGTGGAAGTCCGTTTTATATGGTTATATTTTTTTAACTGGAGTTTACTTGGTATTCAGTTTCCTTAAGTAGTATTCGGCTAATACTCTGTAAAACCTAGATCCGTCTAATCTTTTAATTATAAGAGTTTGTAGTACCTATAATTCGTAACGACACCACTGTGCTCGACCAAAATGTGCCCCCTTTAAATTTCAAAACACCATAAAAATGTGCCCCCCACAAAACTTTTAATGATGCAACTTACGCCATAAACCCACCTTTTGGTCATTCCTGTCTAAAATAAACCAACTTTGCTGGTTTTATATTCATTACATGTATGTGCTTATGTATTAAAACATTATCAATAATTACTAAGCCCTGATTATTTTTTACCTTCATGAACGCATATTCTTGTTTGAAATAAAAAGAGAATCCTAAACTTTACTTGTGTGTTTATTCTTTTTAAGCTAAAAAATAGAGTTTTATTTATTTTAATATCTTTTTAGGCAAATGATTTCAACTCTCTTCTATACCGGCTCATGATGGAAGATAAAACTAACCTAATTCTACATAACGTAAGTACATTGAAATAATGGTAAAGTTTCTTAATTCATCAATGATAACTGGTTCCTCTCTAAACTCAGCGAAACGATCCCATCGATGAACTCAGCACCGAGTTTAGCTCCATAAATCTTTGATAATACATATCTATAAGATAATACTCTTCATTCCGAAAAAGAATGACGGTACTGCAAATCATACAATGTCATAAGAGTGTAAATAACCTACTAAAAGTTAAATGTTAAATAATTAGTTTTGGCGGGAATAGGCGCATAGCCTTCCGCTTTTATATCGGGGGATTTGGGTCATTTACACTCGTGAATATTAAGATAAAACCCCGGCACTGGATATAGACTTTTTGAGGGTGTTTAACTGTTGTTGGGAATCTAATACTTTTGTGACACTGTGCGAGAAGAAACAAAAAGAATACATATATGAAAAGTGGGACTTAGTAAACACTTTGAATGAATTGACTCACCTGGTTTATTCTTCAATTGTGAGGCCTATAGGACAACTAAATAAAAGGACTATTCACTCCTGTCTAACAAAACAAATTTATTTTAACAACTGATAACAAATGACTATATATAAGTGAACGGTTGGTTTTCAATATATTCTTGGTCTTCAATCTAGTAAGCCTCTCTTCCCAGATGACGTCTTCTCCTGTTCCTGTCTAGACCTCAAGTGCTTGGCGTCCTCTTCCAGCTGCTGCTACCTGATCGGACTTTTTTTTCTTCTTTTCGATTGTTTATCGATATGAGATTTTCCCATGAGCAATTATTCCAATGCACAATTGATTACAATTCACAGTGCAACCTCACATTCCTATATATTATATAATCCTTCTCATTCCCTCACACAAAGGAGTAAATACCGGAGGATGTCTACAACAAGAGAGACAAAATGATTAGAATTATTATTATTTAATAATATTGTTTTATCTGTAAAAATCCATTTGCCGCTGTCAACTATAATATGTTTCAATCAGCAAATAAGCTGACAATAAAATAAATGATGACAAATCAGGCATTGGGAAGAACAGCACCTATTCCCTCGATTGATTCGATCACTTAGGTTGTTTATCAAAGATCCCTCATCTATCGACTTTTTTAGTCTCCTCTTCACATTGACGGGTATGTCAGGTATTGCCTTATTTCTTATTAATCTGTTAATATTTCCGTTTAAATTTATATAAAATCATTGGTGACCCTTTTTATGTTGTCAACTGTTGGAAGGTGGAGGTCAATATCTTGGGGTTTTGTTAGTCACGTACCAAAGGGATTTTATTTATGATTCGTAATAATAATAATAATTTCCATTGAAAGGTTTGAAGTATTTTAGGGTGGGTCTTTTTAGGAGATACCGTATTTCTATGTTAATAATGTTCAATTGGGCTCAAGTAATTATGTGTGTATGTATTCAGTTTACATTTCAGATTCATTTGAAAATTTAGAATCTTCAAAAAGGTTTGTTCTGAAAAGTCGGAAAACTTGTTAGAGTCTTCAGTTTCATTTTTCTGCAAAATCTAAGTTTGGATTGAACATAGTTTAGAATGGTTTTAACATGCTCATAGCGCTGCGAGAGTTGACGAAGCTTTTCAGCGCAAAATTTGTCTTGGTCTTGTAAAAAAAAAATCGATTTTATGAATAAAAATTTAGGCAAAATAGTTACTGACTAGTAGGCCGGTGCGAAAAATTCGCACAGCATATTGTTATCAAATGCTAAATTGATAATAAAATAAAATAATGCAACGTATCAAATAATAAAGGAATCAATTGTTACTTTATCGATAAAGATAATCGACAAAGGAAACAAAATTAATTTAAATCTTCATTTTTGTCTGGAACCAACATATTTAAAAATTTCAATAAGCTGTATATTTGCGAAAAATTGTCCGATTTC